CAGAAAACCAGGAAATGGCAAGAAGTTGCAAAAGCTCTTGAGGTGATCACATCTACCTGCTTCATGGTGGTGGTGATTTACAAAAGAACGCTGGAGGCAGCTATAACCTCCCTCATGTCTACCACTGTTGGAGGAAAAATAACTTGCTTTACTTCTGCATCCCACATCTCAACACAAATGCCTCTCATTGGCAGAATGTGAAGGCAGAACCCTTCTGGCAAAGGATGCTTGAAACCTGGTTCCCCAGACTTACAGCCCCTGTAATATAGGGACCGCATTCAAAAGTGTGGGGTTGGATGCTGCAAGCCAAACAAAAATCAAAACAACAGCAGGAAGAGTAGCGGCAGCCAGAGTAATGACAGCAATATGCAGCCTGGGAAGGAAAGTGTGGTGTCTCCCAACACTCAGAAAAACAGTTTCAGAGTGAACTTGACTCCTCCGGCCTTTCTAAATGTTCCGTAACCATCCAGTCTGCAGTGGCAAACTCTTTGCTGCTTGTAGCACCCAAAGTGATGTCTATCTTCCTGACAAAAATGACCTCCCTGACACCGCACCTCCTTTGCTGTTCTGCCTCTTCCCCACACACCACAGCTGTTACTCCTTCCCGGAAGAAGAAAGGAAGGATGAGAGAAATGAAACAATTTGCCCGGGATTATAGAGCTAGTAGAAGCGAAGTTAACTTCTGAATCCAGACTCACCTCACTCCAAATCCCCTGCTCTGTGTATCACACTAAAAGGGCAAGAGACAACTGCTCCACAAAAAGAGAAAGCACATAAGAAGGAAAGATCGCGTTCCTCTCTTTTCCTCTCTCCACCCCAAACCTGCTTCTTGTCTTCACTTATATTTAATGGTACCATATGCTCACCCTGCATCGCTTAGCCAGCTCTTTCTCTTCCCTTCCTCTCTTGCCCCCTTGCCCTCACCTCAGTATGAGCCTTCATCATTTCTTGTCTGAATGGTTGCAACTCCTCCCCTCTCTTTCCAGCCTTGTCCACATCCACTTCATCCTTCGCGTTGCAGCCAGAGTGAACTTTCCAAAGCAGAAAACTGACCCTTTCTATAATCTTTTCAGAAGGTCTTAACATCTTTTCTATGAAGTTAAAATTTCTCAGCACGGCTCCATCTCATCCTGGTCAACCTCTCTATCTTCTTGTCATCCATTCCCCTGCACGTGTCCCACGGGCCAGCTACACCAGCTTCCTCATCATTCGTATGCGAGTCGTGATTCCTTTGACTTCAAGCATCGACTGATGCTGTTCTCTCTGCCTGGAGTGTCCTTCCTTTCCCCTCGCCTGTCTGAGTCTTCCTCCTCCTTCCTTCAGTGCTCTGCTTGGGAAGTTTTCTTGACTTCTCTATGTTAGTGTCTCTCTTCTCTCCACTGGCCCCTTTCACTGATTAGAACACTCACCACACTAGTAGCTTTTCTTCTGTTTTTCCACCAAACTGTGAGCTCTTTAAGGCAAGGAACCATCTGTTTCCCAGCAATAGGTATTTTCTGTATACTCAGTCTCTAACTAGCAGTTGAATGGGCAGATGGATGGATGGATGGATGGATGAAGCTGTTTGTGAGGATTGTGCAATATGGAGAGGCTATCTGTTGCCATAGTAACCTACTGACATGAATAAAAATACCCTCATGAGATGATGGTCTGTCGAGTGATTGAAATCAATGAGGATAACATGGCAAATAAAATAGAGGTTGACTGAGGGCCAAGAGGCCCACAGATTGGGCTGCAACACAGACTTATTACCCTTGGCCATCAATCACTTCCCAACTTCCAAGTAAGAGGAACTGGTGAAAGCTCAGCTTACAGTTATGCACTCT